AGCCAGCACCTCATTGGACCATGTGATTGATGACCTGGAGAAGGGAAGAACTTTCACTTTTAATTAGATGAAAACTGGGAACTTTTAAAGTCAATTTTCACCAGTTGTACCAATACGATGTATCCAATAAACCTGTTCTTTGAGGAATCTACCTGCCTCTGAGTTCTACTTTCAATGGGCGCATTACTCAGAATGCTGACAGTTACTCTTTTTTCCTTTTATATTGACCTATGCATTCAAGAAGGCTTTCATCCTTGTTTTTATGCCTTTTTGTAGAGATTTCATGATCTCTTATATAATGCAATCCCACCTCCTCTTTTGTTAGCTCTGTTTCTTTTGAACAGTTTATATCCTTCCATCAGTAGTTTCCAGTCATGAATTTCATCCCATCAGGTTTCAGTAATCTATATCTAAACTATAGATTCAGTAATCTAAAGCATATCATACTTGCCTTCATATACTACTACTTCAAGTTCTCCTTGTTCCGTAATTTTTCAGCATTAGCCTATAGGTATTTGAGTCCTTTATGGCTGACTCTAGGTATGCTTCCTACATCTAGTTTGTATCTGAGTTTTTCTTCCTTCTAATCACTTTCTACCTCCTTGTTTGATTGGTTGTTGAGGATTATGTTCTAAAGATGCTAAAGATTGGTTATCCTCTCACAGCAGAGAAACGTTATATCTTGCCCAACCAGACTTTATTTGACTTCCAACAATTTATCTGTTTTTACACAATATATAAACCTGCATAGTGCTTTCAGTTACATTAATAGCAATAGCAATAGCAATAGCAGTTAGACTTATATACCGCTTCATAGGGCTTTCAGCCCTCTCTAAACGGTTTACAGAGTCAGCATATTGCCCCCAACAACAATCTGGTCCTCATTTTACCCACCTCGGAAGGATGGAAGGCTGAGTCAACCCTGAGCCAGTGAGATTTGAACAGCCAAACTGCAGAACTGCAGTCAGCTGAAGTAGCCTGCAGTGCTGCATTTAACCACTGCACCACCTCGGCCACCTCGACAGCATTCCGGAGGGTCAAGATCATTGCCCAGAGGATCATTGGTTGCCCCCTCCCATCTTTAGAAGAGCTTTATAACTCCCTCTGCCTTAAGAAAGCTCAAAACATTTGTAAAGATCCATCTCATCCTGGGCACACTTTTCTTAACTATTACCATCTGGCAGATGGTACAGGATAATAAATACAAGGACAAATAGTGTATTTTTGGGAGTATAAGATGCATCTTTCTGCATCTTATACTCCCTGCAAAAGGGGTGTGTGTGAAAATCTGGGTGAGTCTTATACACTGAATACAGCATTTTTGAGCCTACAGAAACCCCATCCCCTTTGCAAAAATGGGCATGCAGAGGGTTTGGGAGGCTTGCAAAGCACTCTTGGGGGCTGAGGAGGGCAAAAATGAGCAAAAAAACCAGACTGTTTTTGCTTATTTTTGCCCCCCCCAACCCCCAGGAGCATTCTACAAGCCTCCCAAAGCTGTGCACGCCCTTTTTATTTTTATTTTTTTGCAAAAAAAACGAGGCGGGCAGAGGGTTTGAAGGGGGGGGGGCTGCAGAGTGCAAAAACTTGTTTTTTTAAATTTACCTCTTCAAAATCATGGTGCGTTTTACACTCTTATAGTCTGAAAAATACGGTAGGCAGACAAACAGCTTCTATCTCAGGGCAGTAACTATATTGAATTCTGCTGTATAGGGCAATATTAATGCAGTATCAGGGGGTTTTCAATTCAATTGTATAGAATGCAAAGGGTGCGTATTTTTGTTTTATTTTTATAGTTATAATGTACACTGAAGACGGCATTTAATGTTGTTGTACGAGGTGCAATAAACTAAAGTAAACTAGCGAAACTAAACTCTCTTGGACTGCAAGGCGATCAAACCGGTCAGTCCTAGAGGAGATCAACCTAAAGATCTGGCTCTTTAGATGGCCAGATCCTGAAGGTGAAACTCAACGACTCTGGCCACCTAATGAGAAGGAAGGACTCCCTGGAGAAGAGCCTCATGCTGGGAAGGATTGAGAGCAGAAGAAGAAGGGGATGACAGAGAAGGAGGTGGCTGGATGGAGTCACCGAAGCAGTCGGTATGAACTTCAATTGACTCCAGAGGACGGTAGAGGACAGGAAGTCCTGGAGGAATGTTGTCCATGGGGTCGTGATGGGTAGGACACAACTTCATAAACTAACAATAACCAAACCAAAGTACTGTAACTGTTGTAAGTCAAGGACTTCCTATACAATCATCTGCTTAAAATCCTGCAGTCTCAATTTGGTTTGGGGTGTTCTCACTGAACCCCAAATTCAGCGGAGAGCTCTTTTCCATAGTTCTTTTTCAAGTGTGCCTGCTAAGAAGAAGTCCTTCCCTTGGAGACCTTCTCCATAACGTTGGAAGACATCCTCCAATCCATTTCTCGTCTCACAAATTTGAGGGAGATGTTTAAAAG